GCATGTCGGCGAACGAGTTGCGGTCGATGTTGGAAACAACGGTCAGAAAAGCATCAAACCGTCGAATCTTATACCAGTGGAATTGTTGGAACTACCAGAAGATGCCTTGATTCAGCGTCTAGTGAGTGCCGCAGGTGGTGAGTTGCCGCTTCTGTGCTTTTGGGCAGAAGTTTTGGGTAGACGCGGTGGGACGCCAGTCCCTAGATGTGTCTGCGGAGGGAGTTTGAGCCGTTGTTCGTTATTGGATCGATCGTTGACGATGTTGAAGGAACAATTTCCAGGCTCGCCGGCGGAGGATCTGCAGAGATACGCACAGAGGCAAGTGAGGAGCGGTCGAGGTGGTATCATTTGCGACTTGTGCGACAAATCGCCCGAAGTGTCATCCTCCCTGACCGGACTGTGGACGTGCAGCAACGGCTCGTCTACGATTCTCCACGCGACGTCGTACGACGTGTGCGATGAATGTTTTCTGAAGTGCGTAACTTCGTCGCCCTGAGCTTCGCAAGTAGCGCGCGCGATCCAGAGGGCGTGTGCAAGCCCACGCTCTCAAAAATGCGTCGGGAGGTGGGCGAAGCGAACAGAAGGCAAGGCATTATATGACCTCCGGTCGAACTTGAGCTCAGTAACGAGAAAACCACGTTGAACGCGCTTGCGGCTGGCCTATGTCTGGCTCTGCGCGTCCTTGCCCATTCGTCCCTCCTGCTCCTCCTCGTCTCTGCCTGGCTCTGCACGGTCGTGGGGGGGGGCACGCCGTCCCCAGCCATGTCTCAAGTCGTTCTCCTCCTCCTCCCCCTCCTCCTTCCCCTCCTCCTTCCCCTTCTTCCCCTCCTCCTGGTCTTCCTTCCCTCCTTCCCCTGCTCATGGTCCTCCTCACCCTGTTCTTTCCCTTCCTCCTGGTCCTCCTCCTCTCCCTCCTCCTTCCCCTCCTCCGTCCACTCCTAGTCCTCCTCCTCCTCCTTTTTCACGTTGGGCAGACCCTGTGGAGTTAATGTGGGCAGTGCAAAAAAAAGATCGGCCGACGAAGCGATGCGACGATCAAATGATGCCTGGCTGGCGCAGGGGCAGAAAGAGAGGCGCGAAGAAGTGGAAGAAGACAGTGGGCCCGCAGGGGCACAGAGTATGCGCCAGCCTGGCGGTGCAGTCCCTCCGACTCGACTATCCCAAGGCCTTCCCAAGTCAAGGCCCTCACCGAGGGACAGTACAGTCATCCGCATAGGAAGGATGGGCAGCCTTCCCATGGGTACCCTTGCATCCTTGCCTCCTCGGCCAATCCTCGGCCACTTTCGTTGGCCGCGCCCCGCTCGAAAAGCCTCGACGTGGCCTTCCAAGGCCCTTGCATCCTTATCGCGCTTCCTTACTATACAGGTTAACTGAACGGCAGTTGCTGAAAAAAGCCCTCACCGAGTGATGATTTACAAATATGTTGGCAGCACTCTTCTCAACGCTACATTCGCTCAACAGCCTCCACCTCCAACATCCCGAGCGAAAGATAACTGGCACTACCGAAACATGTGTGCAGTCGATGTCGTTCCATGGCTGCTGAGTATCACGTGCACGCAGGAGGAAAAACTTCGCGTGGCATCATAATCCGAAACGTTGCCTCCCAAAGATACCACTGAATGAACATCTGGTCGTAAGTCAAAAGCTGGTCTTAGTCAGTATGAAGGACACCGCCCACAACATCCACAGATTCGCGTGGCTTCAGTCTCCTCCCCCACCCCGCCACACATCACCTCCTTGGCGAACTACCTCCCTCCAACTTGCACCGCAAAAGTGGCCACACTGCGTTGCGGCACTCTTTCAGAAGGTAACGGCATTGCAAACAGCAAATCATGGCGCAACGACACATATGAGACGACAATCTTTTTCGCGACAGGGCACTGGAGGGAGTGCACTAGGCACTAGGACGCTCTCCTGGCGGTGGAGTCCGAGTGGGCCCGCTTGGACGGGCGGTCGATCGGACTTTCGTTAAGCGGGTAAGTTGCAGACTCTTGTTGGAGGCCAGCGTGTTCTACGAGGTCCTAGGGAGTGCTAGGAAGGTGAGGGGGAAATGTAAGGAGAGGGAGGGGAAAACGGGGAGAAAGGGGGGGCGGACAGGGGGAGAGGGGGGGGATGGAGGCGGAGGGGATGGGGCAGGAAAAGATAGGGGGCGGGCCTGCGGGGATAGGGGGAAGGGGAGAAGCGGAGAGGGACGACGACGAGAAGGATCAGGAGCAGCAGAAGCACAAGGAGGTGGAGGAGGAGTGGGAGTGGGAGAGGGAGCGGGGATGGCACATGCGGATGGAGGAGCAGGACGATGAGGAGAAGTTGAGCACGAGGAGGGAGCAGGGAGCGTTGGATGAGGGAGACATAGGAGGAGAAGAGGATAGAGCAAGGAGGATCAAGGCCGATGATAGGGGGGATCTGGCGGTGGAAGGCGAAGGAATGAGGTGGCAGTAGGAGGAGCAGTAGAGGAGGATGCAGAGTTGGAGGGAGGTGGAGAGAGAAGATGAGGATGGAGAAAAACGTTTGATCGGCAAGTGGAAGACACGCAGAAGGATAGCGCGTTGCCTTTAGAGGCTGGGGGTAGCTGCGTTCACGAAGACGGCCAGCCTCTTGCAGAGTGTGGATGACTTCACTTACACGAGAAGGAACAGCGCAACTTGGATCGGCGCTGGACCGGTCCCTGCCTAGCGCTCGAAGCGCGCCAGGGGCGGCGCTGGAGGCGCCGTCAGGGGGGTCCAGCGCCGATCCTAGAAATCCGCGAACGTGGTATGTATGTAGTTGGTTGTTGTTCCTCTATCGAAGACGCCTACGGCGAATCACCGCCGCCCCCTGACTTCTATAATCGCCCATGTGGCCGAACGCTGTGGCAAGAGCTCTGCCAAGCTATCGGACCATGTGGCCCCCCAGCCGTTGTGGAAACCCTTCGGGGAACACTTGGGGGAGGATGCTGGGATAGATCAGGAGGAGGCGGAGGAGGAGGTGGAGGAGGAGGAGGAGGAGCAGGAGGAGGAGGAGGACAAGGAGGAGGAGGAGGGGGCATCTTGGGAGCCTCTGGGGGCACTCTTGGGGCCTCCTGGAAGCTTCCTGGGCCTCTTGGGGCCTTTAGGGGCTTCTCGGGGGCCTTTTTGGTCGTCTTGGTGGGCTCCTGGCCCGTGTGACGCCGTCGGAAGCCGTCTTGGGGGCCTCTCTGGGCCGACTTAGGGCCCTCTTGGGGTGCTCCAGGGCCGTCTTGGAGGCCATCTTAGACGTCTTGGAGGCCTCTGGGGCCGTCTTAGGGCCGTCTTGGGGGCCTCTTGAGCCGTTCTGGGGCCATCTTCGAGGCCTTTCGGGTGATCTTTCGGGACTCTTGGGCCGTCCCAAGCTGTCGGAACCCGATGCCCGAGTCGGCCCGGGGGCGGCTTGCCCCCGGGGCCGTCGCCGCAAAGTCGAGGGAGGCAGCGTCTGCAGGTGGCTGGTGCGCCGGCAGTCATGGCGGGCGGCCCGAGAAGGATTGGCGTTTGCCGGGCGACGGCCGGCAGCGCGGCGCGCCGTCGTTTCCTCGGTCGCCAGGGGGGGGGGGCGCCGACGGGGCGAGTTCTGTCTCGCATGCAAATGCCCAAGCCCTTCAAAAACTAAGGAAACTCAATGACCTCTTAAGGCCTTCCTGGGACTCACTTGGAGGCCTCCTGGGCCGTCTTGGAGACCTCTGGGAGGCCTCTTGGGCCGTCTTGGGCCATCTTAGAATCATCGTGGGCTGTCTTGGTGAGCTCCTGGCCCATCTGACGCCGTCGGAAGCCGTCTGGCGGCCTCTCTGGGCTGACTTGGAACCCTCTCAGGGTGCTCTTGGGCCATCTTGGAAGTCATCTTGGGCGTCTTGGGCGCCTCTTGGGCCGTCTTATGGCCCTCCTGGGGCGGTCTTGGGGGCTTCTTGGGCCGTTCTGGGGCCATCTTCGAGGCCTCTTGGGCGATCTTCGGTCGATATTTGGGGGCTCTTGAGCCGTCTCAGGCCGTCGGAAGGCGGAAAAGAAGCAAACGCCAAAGTCCTTCAAAAACCACGGCAAATCTATGATGTTGGCCTCTTCGGGCCTTCCTGGAGGACCTTTCGGAGGCCTCGGGGACCTTCTTGGAGGCCACTTGGGGGCCTCTTGGGCCGTCTTGGAGGCATTTTGGGCAGACTTTGAGGCATCTTTGACCCTCCTCGGCCGTCGTGGAGGCCATCTTTGACCATCTTGGGCGAACTTGGACACAACCTCGGGCCATCTGACCCGTCTTGGAGGCCGTCAAGGGCCATCTTGGAGCGGGAAAGGCATTAACGCGGGGATTTGTCTGTGCACGTTAAGGTCGGTTCCGAGCTTTGTGCGACCTTATGCGCTCTTCCGGGTGACTAGCGGGCTGGGCCAGAGCCCCAGAGGAGAGTTCTTCCGCAAAAAACAAGTCAAAATCGAAATGATCCAGCACGCTGGGCACCCCTGTGACAAGCACAGGGGGCGGCGGATCTAATGATTTTCGGCCCATCCCGCCACTGTGCCTGGGTTGTGGCTCATAGGCCTCTTGGATGTTCGTTTGGGTGTCGTGGGATTTGAATCCGATTGGAGGGTTAGTGAGTCTCAGCCCGTTCGCTGAGCGCGCTCCGCTATTGGGAGTGAAGCAATGGAAATTCGGTTTTGGGCAAAATTAGGAGAGCGGTGTTCCGTTCGTGAGTGGGAGCGAGGCAATCCTAATCCCTTGGTTCGAAGCCAATCAGCTGATCGGCGCTCCGCTGCTTGGGGCCAAGCAAGCTCCGTGCGCACGCTTGGAGGCCACTCAGCCGAGCAGCGCCAGACTAATTGGGGCGCGTTGTTTTAGAGCAATGAGCCTGGGCCTCCAGAAGAGGTCCAGAGGATTGCGCAAAGGACCTCCACGTCGTGCCACAGGGGCACGGTGGCGGATGGTAGCATCCCTCCCGGTGGGCCACGCGGTGCTGACTCCATGCTGGCACGTCGCCGAATTTTGACGACGTGTCCGGCCCCTCCCTTCTCGCGCCTGCCGACCGCTAGGCCGCCGGCATGTTCAAGTCGGGAGACTGGAAGCCGAACGAGGCCCGGAACCATTTCTCGGTGGTCCAAAGCTGGGGTCTTGAGGGATGGGGCCCTCAGGATGGGCAGGGAGTCCTAAGCTGAGCCTTCACTGCTTGAGGCTACTCGTCCTTAGGGCCCCATCCTTCTGGGCCCCATCTTGAGGCCCCCGACTCAGCTGGATGCGATCGAGGAGAAGGATCGAAGAGTATGAGCAAGGGGAGGTCGGAGGAGGTTGGAGGAGAAGGAGGATTGAGATTTTTGGACGCGTTGAGCCTCTTGGGGCTTCCGGAGGCCTCTAGGGACTTCTGGAGGCTTCGCATTGCCGCAAAGGTTGGTGGACGGCGCTGGAGGCTTCCAAGGAAGCCTGGCAGGCGTGCGAGAGAATCAAAGGAGTGGCCAATTGCACGCAGATCCATCCCTGAGTATGGTTTGCTCCCTGGCTTTCAATGCTGTTTGGCCCGACACGGCATTATAGAGCTCCATGGGGCCTCCATGGAGCCCAAAAGCGCCCCAACCCCCGAAGGGGGGCCCAAGACGGCGACATCGCCAGACCACTCGTTGTCCCCTTACCCAGAGAGGCGTCCGAGGATCTTTTGAGTGTAGTCGCACATGTATCTCGCTCACCGGCCCCAAACGTCGTCATGTCAGACTGCTTGGATGATGGGCACGATGTAGTCTGATCATCTTCGGACCCGCAAGAGAAGGTCTCGGTTGGGTGGCGTGGTTGAGTCATCAAGAAGAGGGTACGCAAGGGGCACGCCAGTCACAATGTACCAGTTCGCCGCATGCCAGGCCGCAATGTATGCTGCTGGAGACTGGGTGGAGGACGACTCTGATTGACAGGCGACTCAGATACAACCTGTCTGCGATTTCGTTGTATTCGGAGTTGCTGAAGCGTCGCTTGTAAAATAGTTACTGTCAACATGATAATTTCTCTGCTTGTATATCCGAGTGGTGTTGCACACGTGCCTGAATGGAAGCATTTCTAGCAGCATTGCGTAGGTGTTACAAGCATGCATGACCCTATCATCGAATATGTTGACTTTCGAAGTTACGGCGTCTGCCCGTTTGCACACACCACCTGTCTTGGACCTCCTCGCCGCCTGGTTCACATACGCAGTACAAATGCCGCCAGCGTCACGAATCGAACGTCCTTGATCACATGTGCATGTTCTCGCTTATTCAAGTGCGGCACCCGCTGTCAACGTCAAGGAACAAGCCTCCTGCGATTGCCTAATCAATTATGTCTGTATTGTTGCAGATTGGTTCAACACTCTCACCGTTTCACAGGCCACGCAGAGGAGACACATCGGCCGATAGTTGTCGCAGCTGCCGGCTACTCCTTTGTAGTGATACAATGCCCTTGCGTGTGCCTGTTGCGGTTGTTCTGGAGTCGCTCTCTCTCTCGTCGCCGCACATGTGTCAGCCTACTGGATTTCTCGCGGCGCCTGCGCAATAGTTTTCCAATACATGTCAGGGACGCCATCCATCCCTCTGAATTCGTCCCATTTTACCCGGTAGTTGTTTTCGAAAGTGCGCCAGTGAATCTCTGTGAATACACTAAAGGGGGGGGATCCAGAACCCCCCTCCCCTCCCCCCCTTCAAGTGGGGGGGGGTCCGGAACCCTTTCCCCCCTCCCCCCCTTAAGGGGGGGGGTCCCGAACCCCCCCCCCTCCCCCCCTTGGCGCTGGAAAGGGGGGGGGGGGTCGGACCCACCCTCCCTCGTGTAGGGAATAGGGAGATGGGAGTAGGGAGTGGTGAGTAGTGGGTGGTGAGTTACTGTGTAGTGAATAGTGAGTATTGGTAGTGAGTGGCGAGTAGGGAGTGGGGAGTAGTGAGTAGTGAATAGTGTGTAGTGTGTACTGATAAGTGAGTAGTGAGAGGCGAGTAGTGAGTACGAGTAGTGAGTAGCGAGTAGCGAGTAGTGAGTACTGAGTAGGGAGTAGGGAGTAATGAGTAATGGGAAGTGAGTAGTGGGTAGTGAATAGTGGGTGGCGAGTAGTGATTAGTGAGTAGTGAGTAGTGGGTAGTACGTAGTGCGTAGTGAGTAGTGAGTAGTGAGTACTGAGTAGTGCGTGGTGCGTAATGAGTAGTGGGTAGTGAGTAGCGAGTAGTGAGTAGTGAGTAGTGAGTAGTGAGTAATGAGTAGTAAGTAGTGCGTAGTGAGTAGTGGGTATTGAGTAGTGATGAATAGAAAGTAGTGGGTAGTGGCAGTGGGTAGTGAGTAGCGAGTAGCGAGTAGCGAGTAGTGAGTAGTGAGGAGCGAGTAGGGCGTAGTGAGTAGTGAGTAGTGAGTAGAAAGTAGTCAGTAGCGGGTAGTGGGTAGTGATTAGTGAGTAACGAGTAGGGAATAGCGAGGAGTGACTAGTGAGTAGGAAGTAGGGAGTAGAGAGTAGTGAGCAGTGAGTAGTAAGAAGTGGGTCGCGAATTGTGGGTAGTGAGTAGCGATTGGTGAGTAGTGGGTAGTGACTAGTGATTTGTGACTAGTGACTAGAGACTATGTAGCGACCAGTGTGTAGGGAGTAGTAAGTAGTGACTAGTGAACAGTGAGTAACGGGGAGTGAGTATGGAGTAGCGAGTATGGGAGTAGGGAGTAGTGAGTACTGAGTACTGGGTAGTCAGTATTGCGTAGGGAGTAGCGAGTAGCGGGTAGTGGGTAGTGAGTAGTGATTTGTGGGCAATGAGTAGTTAGTAGTGAATAAGTGGGTAGTGGGTAGTGGGTAATGAGTAGTGATTAAAAATTAGCGAGATGGGAGTAGTGAGTAGTGCTTAGTGAGTAGTGAGTATTGAGCAGTGGGTAGTGAGGAGTGAGTAGTGAGTAGGTAGGAGGGAAAAGGGAGTAGGGAGTAGCGAGTAGCGACTAGTGGGTGGTGGGTAGGGAGTAATGGATGGTGAGTAGTGAGCCGTGGGTAGCGAGTAGGGGGTAGTGAGAAATGAGTAGCGAATAGCGAGTAGTCAGTAGTGGGTAGTGAGTAATGAGTAGTGAGTACTAGTTGGGGCTGGGGTTAGTGGTTGGGGTTAGGATTAAGTGGTTTCGGTTGGGGTGAGGACTAGGGGTAGGGGTGGCCGGGGTCGGGTTCCGGAGCCAGAGGCGGCGTGGCGGAAGGGAGGTCGGGGGGGGGGGTTCGGACCCCCCCCCCTTTTGAAAGGGGAGGAGGGGGGGAGGGCCCCCGACGACGGATCGGGGAAAGGGAGGGAAGGGGGGGGTCCCCGACGACGGATCGGGGAAGAGGGGGAGGGGGGGGGGGTCCCCGACGACGGGTCGGGGAAGGGGGGGAGGGGGGGGTCCTAGCACCCCCCCCGCTGGGGAGATCCAGCGGCGCACCGTCGTTGTTTCCCCATTTCTTGGCATATAAACGATTATACACGGCAGTTCTTCCACTCGGAGGGCGGGCCCCGGCGATGTCTCAGTTGCCACGTTCGCAGGGCCAACGCGCCACTACTTTTGTCTTCCTGGGTGGGTCTGCGATGACCCGTCGTCCCGTTTGCTGGTTTTCACAATTTGTGTTTCCAATGTCTGCAGTCTGCAAGGTTGCCGTGCTTGCGATCTCAACGCTTCCGGACAGCATCAAAGTTCAGAAGGTGCAGCAGAGTCCAGCAGCCAACACTGAGGCATTCAGACCTTGAGCCAACCAATCACTGCAACACCCAAGACATGTAAAACCGTTCGTCGCGATGCAAGACCACGTTTTGCAGCGAACGTTTCTTGCATCATTGCCGTGAGCACAATGATGATATTCAAGAGGTTTCGAGCAAGCTATTGGGATCATGGTTAATATGTGCATCAGTGGCCGCGACAATGCTCCCAATGAACTAACCCGAGACCAACAGAACGTTGATGCTCGGGCGTTCGCTTGGTTGTATCCCAAAGCCACATTGTCTTGCCACCTTCATTCGGAAGCATATGTTTGCAGTGTATGATACCTTCGCTCAAGTGCAGAACTTGCGAGCGATGAGGTTGGAGTCGTTTGCAACCAGGCGCCCCCAAAGGCCCCGACAGGGCCCAAAGGAGCTGCAGTATTGCCCTGACGCCCAGTCGTTTCACATCCATGGACTTCTCAGCGGCGCGGGGTGCGATTGGCAAAATAACTCTAGTGAGCGAAATGCTTCAACTTACCCTTCCTCGTCGTTCAGAGTTGTTCACCAAACTCTGGCGCATGAAAACATTATATATACATAGTCAAAATCAGCGGGACATGCTTTGCGCAATGTATCAAGTTTCGAAAATGTGGATTCGGTCCAGGCGCTTCTACATTGCACCTGGTGGATCTCGTGAGAACGGGTCTTCCCAAAGAAGTTCAAAGCACGCCTGGGCTTCGCGACATTGTACGCCGAATTTGCTTTCAACCAGTACTACATAATTTGGTAGTGTAGGCATTGGTTTCAATGAAGATTGCAACATCCTCGATGATGGCGATTTTGAAAGTGTCTTGTCTCGAGTGTGAAGAGATGCGCACGTGTCGGGAGTCATAGATTTCGTTGGTTGAAGGGCGGGCGACACGGGGTGTGGATCTGCCTTTCGTCTTCACCGCCGTAGTGCGACGACCAGTCTGGACGATTAGATCGACGACTCTGAAGTTTTGGGGCGGGCAGACCAGACTCTATGTTGTACAAGGGCACCAGGTCGGCACCATAATCTACGTTGTTGTATTGGTCTGCCCATCGCATCGGCTCTAGCCATAGGGAATGAGTTGCGCAAAGCCCGCCAGACCTGTGGGGGCGTAGCTGCCACGGAATCTGAAACGAAGCCGAGTGGACGCTTTTTCGGGCCCTAAGTTGACGAGAGGTCGCTTTGTCACTCCGTTGCTTCTGGCGTCTCTTGCTGATCTCATCCGCGTACACATGCGTTGCATGTTTCGGTCAACCATATCACACTTCATGCCACATTGATTCGTCGGTCGTTCTTCGACGGATCATCCAAATCGTAGTCGTGGTAGATGTCAGGCGTCTAAACGTCGCCGTTGTTTCGCACGTGGCGCAGCGCATTTCAGCATAGTGCAGGACTCCCGGCAAACGATTTTGGCTTGTCGTTCAGGTACCCAAACGTGATATCGACGGGCCTTCCTCCACCCCGCCACCGTGCTTGGCTTGTGTCGTTGGGATCTCGTGGGGCCCTCTCGGGATCCTCTTTGGAGGCAATTTTGATGCCTTAGGGGGGTGGGGGCATCTTGGAGGCCTCGTGGGGGCCTCTTGGGTGCCTCTTGGGGGTTTTTGGAGGCCTCTTGAGGCATTCTGGGGGCCTCCTCTGGGGACCGAGGGCTCGAAAAGTTTGCTGGGGTCCTCTGTTTGGGCCCCCCTCTTGGAGCCATCTTGGGAGCCCTTTGGGCCGTCTTGGAGGCCTCTTAGACCGCCTTCGGGTCCTTTGGGGCGGTCTCGATCTTGGTCGCCTCCGTCTTGGAGCGTCGGAAACCCGAAAGACGATAATGCCAAAATCCACAAGACAAAAAGTGTAAATCAATGAGTTTTGGCTCTCAGACCCCTCTTGGGAAGCCTCTTGGGGTCAGGACGCCTCAGGCGCACAAGAACACAGCTGCACAGTAGCATATGCAGCCCCGTGAAGCCCTATGGGCGAGACAATGACAACAACAAAAAAAACTAAAGAGACGTCATTGTGCATGGTTGTATGTCCACCTCAATTCGCACCAGCACAATGTCCAGCCTGTGTCAGATTGCTTCAAACAGGCCCGGGGGGCCTTCACACACCTGCGCCGCCGTGGAGGCTGAGGCTCTGGCCAGGCCAAGAAGGCCCACTTTCTCGGCAGGTCCGAGGACCCCGGCCCAGGAGCGATCCAGAACAGAAAAAGGTGCACAAGGGTGAAAACCAAAATGGCAGGTATTAT